CACCTCTTATTCTAGACTATTGTCATGCAAATAACACCTAATCATGTATTTCTTTTAGACTTTTCTTTCCCTCATCTATTTAAATGCAGTGTTCATTATTTATTCCTCTGTTCTTAGTTTTCCCCTAATCTCTATGTCAGTCCTGTTTTATAACACTGGCATGATGCAGTATTTGTCCTTTTGTGACTGAAATATTTCACTCAGCATAATCTCCTCCACGATCACTCATTTTGTATAATATTTTATGAGTTCCTTGTTTTTTTTGTCAGTGCTGCATATTATCCATTCATTTGTTGATAGACATTTGGGTTGCTTCCATCTCTTCTATTGTGAACAACACGGCAGTAAGCATGGGTGTGCATATATCTGAGTGGCAGTTCTAATTTCTTTAGGGTATATTATCAGTAGTGCTATTGCTGGGTCAAATAGTATTTCTATTTCCAAATTTTGGAGAAAGTACCACACTGCCTTCCATTGTGGTTTCACCGTTTTACACTCCCAACAACAGTGAATAAGGGTTCCAATTTCTCCACAACCTTGCCAGCATTTGTTATTTGCTGCTCTGTTGAACTTTTGTTCAACTATTCTTACTGAGATGAGATGATATCTCATAGTTGTTTTGATTTGCATCTCTCTTAAAGCTAGGGATTTTGAACATTTATTCATGTGTTTGTCATCTGAATGTCTTCTTTGGTGAAGGGTCTATTCATATTCTGTGCCCATTTTGCAATTGGATTGTTCACCTTTATCTTGTTGAGGTGCTAGATATTAGCTAGCCCTTTATCAGATATGTCATTACCAAATATTTTTTCCCAGTCTGTGACTTTCCCTTTTACAATGTTGTAGAAGTTTTTAAATGTGCTTAGGGATTTGATTCTTAGAAGATCTCATTCATCTATTTTATTCCCTCCTGGTTGTAGGTTTTTTAGGATGCTTGGGAGACTGTTGATGTTGTGGATTAGGGCTTCTAGGGTTTTTTCAAGCTTTTCTCGGATGAAGTTTATAATCATTGGTTTTAGTCCTACGTCCTTGACACACTTTGAGTTGGCTTTGGTGTATGATGTGAGATGTGGCTTTGCTCGAGTTTTCCAGTTTTCCAATTATGCCAACACCATTTGCTAAAGAGGTTGTCATTGCCCTACTTAACTGCTTTCATCTCCTTGTCAAAAATCAGTTGTCCATAGGTAGATGGGCTGATTTCTGGGTTCTCAATTGTATTCCATTGATCTATGTGTCTGTCATTATACCAGTACCATGCTGTCTTGACCACCACAGCAGTGTAGTAGGATTTGAAATCAGGGAGTGAGATGTCCCCTACCTTGTTTCTCTTTTTCAGAAGTGCTTTGCTTACTGGTGTCTCTTTCCATTCCAGATGAAATTGGAAATTGACTTTTCCATCTTGTTGAAGAATAGAATTGATATTTGTATTTGGATTTCATTGAACTTGTAGATTGTCATTTTCACAATATTGAGTCTTCCTATCCAAGAGCATACTATATTCTTCCATTTTTCCAGGTCACTTTTTGTTTCTTATAGTAATGTTTTGTAATTTTCTTTGAATAGGTCTTTTGTATTTCTTGTTAGTTTTACTCCCAAGTATTTAATCTTGTCATTAGCTATTGTGATGGGTGTTGTTTTTCTTAGCTCCAGTTCTGTATTCTTTGTCACTATAGAGAAATCCAGATGATTTTGGTGTGTTGATCTTTGTATCCTGCCACTTTGCTGAATTGATTGACTACATCCAGTAGTTTTGTGGCTGAGTCTTTAGGGTTTTCTAAATATACTATCATATCATCTGCATATAGAGATAATTTTTCCTCTTCTTTACCAATTTGGATACTTTTTTTTCTTGTCTTATTGTTATCACTAAGATTACCAACTTAGTTCTTGTTGTCAGAGGGAATGCCTTTAATCTCCCTCTATTGAGAATGATGTTGGCTCTTGGTTTTGCATATATAATTTTTACTTTTTTGAGGAGATTTCCCTCTATTCCTATTTTGTTGAGTCTTTTCATCAGTGTTGGGTTTTGTCAAAGGCCTTCTCTGCATCAGTTGATAGGATCATGTGGTTCTTGTTCTTCACTTTGTTAATATGATAAATGACACTGATTGCTTTTCTTAAGTTGAACCATTCTTGCATACCTGTTATGAATCCCAATAAATTGACCTCTAGTTACTGCTTTTGCTATTTCCCAGAGGTTTTCATAAGTTGTGATTTCATTGTCATTTATTTCAAGAAACTTTTTAATTTTTAATTTCTTCTATTACTCATGTTCAGGAGAGGTGTTGTTCAGCTTCCAAATGTATGGGGTTTTTTCTCCTTTATCCTCTTGCTATTAATTTCTAATTTGTAGCATTGTAGTCTGAGAAGATACTTTGTATTATTTCTTTTTTTTTTTAATTTTTGATGCTTGCCTTGTGACCTAAAATGTGATCTGTTCTGGAGAACATTCCATGAACAATGGAGAAGAAGGTACACTGTTTATGTCTATGAAAGCAAATTGGTTTATTATGTGGTTTAATTTTTCAGTGTCTTTGTTGAGTTTCTTTCTGGTAGTTTTATATTTTCTTGAGCATGGTGTATTGAAGTCTACTACTCTATTAGTGTTGTCCATTTCTTCTTTCAGTTTTGTTAATGTTTGTTTTATGTATTTTGCTGGTCTTTTATTTGGTGCATAGATATTTATTATTGTTATGTCCTCTTGTTCTATTGACCCTTTCAGCATTATGTAGTGACCTTCCTTGTCCTTTGTGATGGTTTTTGTATTGGAATCTATTTTATCAGATTAATATTGCTACTGCTGCTTTTTTCTGGTTGCCATTTGCTTGGTATGTTATTTTTAGTTTTTCCTTATCTTTGCTTTTCTGGTGTGTCTCTTGTAGACAGCATATTGATGGTTTTGTTTGGTTGTTGTTGTTGGGGGTTTTTTTGTTGTTGTTTTTTTTTTATCCAGTCTGCTACTCTTTTTTCTACTCAGTGGTGAATTTAAGCTATTCACATTTGGTGTAATTATTAAAAATCTGGGTTTTATTGCTATCATCTTGTTGAGTTCTTTTTGGTGTTGTTACTTTGGTCCGTCTTGCATTCTGTGGCACCTCTGTAAGAAGGATATCTCTCAGTGCTTCCTGAAATGCTGGTCTTGTTTTTACAGACTCCCTTAGATTCTACTTTTCTAAGAATATAATAATCTTCCCAGTTTTGCTGGGTACAATATTCTTGGTTGAAAATTTTGTTCTTTGAGTGTTTAATATATGTAATTCCAGTGTCTTCTTGCTCACATGGTTTCTGCTGAGAAATCAGCATTTGATCTTATTTGCTCTCCCTTATAGGTTACTCTTTGTTTCTCCCTAGCTGCTTTCAGAATTCTTCCCTCATCTTTGGTTCTGGCAAATTTGACTATGATAAGCCTTGGTGTTTATCTTTTGGGGTCTATTCTATATTGTGTTCACTCAGCTTCTTGAATATATATTCTCTTATTCTGCATTATGCCTGGAAAGTTTTCTTCTTGTTATTCTTTCACAATTTTCTCATTGTCTTACCTGCTTCTTCCTGTTCTGGAATTCCTATTATGTGCATGCTTTTCCTTTTGATGGTGTCCCACATTATTCTTAGGCTTTCTTCTTTTTCCTTCCTTTTTGATTCTGCTTTTTGTTCTAGCCAATCCGTGGTGACAATTCTATCTTTTATTTTGCTGGTTCTTTGTTCCATCTCTTCAACTCTGTTCATATGTCTCTCCAACAAGTTGTCAGCATCTGAAATATTGGTCCTCATATCCTGAATTGTGGGTTTTTGTTTTTCCAGAGTCTCTAATGCCTCATTTGTTTTATCTGCATTGTCTTGGATTGTTTGTTTGTTTGTTTGTTTGTTTGTTTTTTAAGTTCCTCTTGGATTTTGCTTGCAGAGTTCTAGAATTCTTCTCATTTTGTCTTTTATCCATTGAAAATATTCAATATTCTTTTGAATTCTGTGTCAGAAAGTTCCATCAGACTTTCTGGCTTTAAGAAATCTATTGATACTGTGTTACTTTTGGGAGGTGACATCTCGTTTTGGGTTTGTGTAGGGTATGTGATAGTCTGCTTCTTCTGTGACATTGCAGTGGTGGAATTTTTCATGCCTGAGGCCTTTACCGGCTCTTGGTCTGAAAACCTTGACTTAAGAGGTCACTACTCCAGAGGAGGGCAGTGTAGCTACCCTACCTGAGTTTTTCCCTGAGCTTTTGACTCAAGGGAAGACTTGTGTTGGTTGGGGAGAGATATGGCCTCTGAATTAGCAATCTTCCCTGTCAGGCAACCTCTGCAGCTAGGCTAGACAGGCCCAAGGCGCCCAGGGCTAAAGTCAGTTCAAGCTCTGGAAGAGAAAATGAAATGGGATCACCTGTGATATTGTTGTCCCTGGTGCAGTTCAGAGGGATGGTAGCAGGTCATTCTCCAGACAGCGTGGTGTCCAGGCATCAGGGCCAGGTCCTCCAAACAGCTGGTCTTCCAGGTAGCAAGCAGGAGAATCCTGGCAGTGGGGCTGCGAAGGCAGGTCCTTCAGGCAGTGGGGCTAGGGCATCCATGAAGTTGTTGGAAGCATCCACATACTCCAGGGGCCACATACTCCAGGTGGCAGATTCAGGGGTCCAGATGGCAGGGCCAGGGCCACCAGGTGGAGGGGTTGAGGCCTCCAAACAGAGGCACCAGGGGCCTCCAGGAAGCAGGGCCTTGTTCTAGTGCTCTGGCAGGAAAACAGTCCAGGCCACACTTAAGAACTTTGTAATATAGGTAGCTAGTTAATCAACTGGAACAGATCCATGGCTGCTGACAACACGTGCAGTCGCTCATTATAAAAACTTTTATTGGTTATTGTGGTGGTATTGAGTTTTTCATTACCTAAGACATATTATTTACGTTATGAAAATAAGTAAAAGTAAGAATTCATCATGATTTTTTGCTTGATTGACGGTTTCCCCCATTATTATTAAAGCAATTAAAAACCCTTTCTATATTTTTACCTTTCAGAAATTGCCTTTGAAATTCAAAAATGCAAAACGAATTGAAGGACTTAATAAAAATGTGTGGTGAGTATTTCAGAGTAAAAAAAATTCATAAGGTTTTTCCTACAAGTTTTTAATATCTTCATAGTTGAGAATATTTCAAATTATCAATAATCTACAAATAAAACCCCTAGTTATAATTCAAAATAAAATATTTAAAATACATGACTTTGTCTAGAATTTCTTTAATTAAATCATAGTAGCATGTTATTGTCTTAAAAATTGAATATTGTTAATGGCTGGATACTTTTTTATGTAACGATATCTAGACTTGTATGAGTAAATAAATTTTCTACAGCCACACCTGCTTTTCACTACATTGGTTGAGTTGAATAGTTACAACAAATCTCCTATGGCCTATAACACCTACAGAAAATGTTTACAGGACCCTGCTTAGGCTGTTAGTATACACTTCCGTTTCATTGCAAGTAGAACTGTTGTAACACTTCATTCCTATTAAATGCTTGCCATTATTATAATTACTAAATTATATCTGTAGTGGATCTGAAAGGAACAAAACAATGAAACTAAAGAAAAATTTATATATTATATATAATATAAGCATTTTATTCTATTAGCCTTACTTTCAGTGCTTCTAAAAATTTTATTTCTTAATTGAAGTATGCATTTTTGTTTCTGCAGTTCAATAACTATTCCCTTGACTTCATGGTAAATTGTTCTTCTTTTTAAATTAATCTGTTGAGTTCATAAGTTTCATTCAGTATTTGTCTAAAAGTATGAATATCAGCTCATAGACACAATTTTGTACCCAGTTTTTGAGGATCACAACCCCACACCAATTCTGCTTTCAGAAAGGCCTACACAATTTCCTGTAATGACTGTGATCTTATTTGCAATTATTGATGTACGTATGCCATTATGAAGAACATATCACATGGCTAGAAAGTGGAAGAAAGTGACCCATACACTGATTTATTCATTTATGAAATGTACCAGGCCCTGTGATAAGCTCTAGAAGCATAGCAGAGAAAAAAGTCAAATTTGGGTAATGCCCTCATGAAGACCTGAATTATAATCCATGATATTTCCTCATTTGTTTTCTATTCTGTAATGGTTGATAAAGAATACAACAGTAGTCAAAATTTTTGAGAGAAGGAAAAGATCTGGTAAAGCATGGATACAATATAATTGAGGTTTTTATCAGTTCAGCTTTTTCTTTTTTTATGTTATGTCATTTTGTGGATGTTGACATTTTTGTTGTTGACTTTTTTTCCCTGAAAGACAAAACTAGGATGATTTTTTTCAACTTTGTAATAAGACAATGAACTGTGGGAATTAGGACTTCTTAGTTCTGTTGTTAGATGCCATCAAGCTGAGTACAACTCATAGTGACTCTATGAACAACAGGTCTGAATCTTGCCCTAACCTGTGCCAGCCTCATCACCTCATATACTCAAGTCCATTGTTATAGACGCTGTGTCAATCCATTTTGTTGAGGGTCTTCCTATCTTTAATTGACCCTCTACCTTTCCAAGCATGATGTCTTTTTCCAAGGACTATCCTCTCCTAACAACATACCCAAAATACATGAGATGAAGCTTCACCACCCTTGCCTCCATGGAACCACCCTTGTTGCATTTCTAAGGCATGTTTGTTTGTGCTCTTGGCTGTCCATGGGATATTCAGTACTATTCTCCAAGACCATAACTCAGAGACATCGATTCTTCTTCTGTAATCTTTAATCCTTGTTGAACTTTCAGATACATAGAATGTAATTGAAAATACCATGGCTTAGATCAAGTGGACCTTAGTCTTTAAACTGACATTATTGTTCTTTAGCACCTTAGAGCAGTACTTGACAGTAGCCTTTGTTCAGAGATAATAGTAATTATTAATATCAGTATGTGTATTTGTTTTAAATTCAGGGTTGAATTTACCAAATTGGCTGCAGACCCCTCTGTTGTGAATCTTGGCCAAGGCCTTCCAGATATATCCCCTCCTGTATATGTAAAAGAAGAATTATCAAAGATTGCAGCAATTGATAGCATGAACCAGTATACACGGGGCTTTGTGAGTATATTGGGATCCTGTGGGAGGTGTGTTCTATAGTGAGATAGATAGATAGATAGATAGATAGATAGATAGATAGACACACACATACATACATACATACATACATACATACATACATACATACATACTTCTGTCACATAACATTAATAGACATTCTGAGACAAAATGACCTAATATGATAATCACAGAAACGCTCACATTTACCTTTATCTTCTTGGTTGAGTTTCCCCCTACTTCCTGCCCCTCTGTAGTACTGTTTTGCTTTTTACTTTACTGTTACAGATAAGATCTTTTTATAAACAACAAAGAAAGAGGAAAATATTCTCATAAGACATGTCTTTTCTCTCTCATTAATATCTTTCATATTTTTAAGAAAAACTACAAAACACTACCACAATAAACAATAGGACTTGACTATGGAAAAATATTCCCTGTTTATCAATAGGAAGACTCAACATTGTGTCATTTTCAACACAGTATCTGGGGCAATGAGGGTATATATATCAGAAATAGTGAGATTGGCTCAGGATAGAGCAGGATTCAGAGCTATTGTGCATTGGGTTGCTAACAACCAGAAGCAATCTACATGTTCAATGCAATCCCAATACAGTTAAATAAATTCATTCTTCAAAGAGAGAGAAGGCAATTGGCAGATTTATTCAGAGAGGAAAGAGACCCCAAAAAAGCAAGCTCTTCTGAAAAAGAAAAATTAAGTGAGAGACATAATATTCCCTGATTTCAAAATCTACTACATAGCCATAGTAACCAAAACAGCATGGTACTAGTACAGACAGACACATAGACCAATAGAATAGAATAGAGAAGCTAGAAATTAACTCATCTACCCACAGTCAATTGATATTTGACAAGAACACAGAATCTATCAAATGTGGACCTCTTCAGCAAATAGTGCTGGCAAAACTGGACAGTGGTCTGCAGAACTCTGAAACAGTATCCACATCTCATGCCACACACATAAAAAAAAAAAAGTCAACTCAAGGTAGATCAGAGATTTATGGGTAAAATCCCAAACCATAAGGATCATAAGAAACAAAATGAGACCAGACTTAGAAGCCCTAGCCTATGGCATAAATGTTGTTGTTATGTGCTGTCAAGTCCTTTCGACCCATAGCGACCCTATGTATAGCAGCTCTGAGGCCTGTCCTGTCCTGAGCCAGTCTCCCTAATTCCAACATTACAAACCCCATTGCCCCAGTTACTGTATAATTTCATTTCATCTGGGGTCTTCCTCTCCTGTGCTGTCCCCCCACTCTTCCAAGCAGGATGTCCTTCTCAAAAAACGGGTTTCTCCTGGCCATGTGACCAAAGTATGTGAGACAGAGCTTCAAAATCCTAGCCTCCAAAGAGAAACTTGGTTTCACTTTCTCCAAGACAGAACTATTTGTTTTCTTGGTAGTCCATGATATGTTCAAGATTCTTTTCCAGCACCACAATTCAAAGGCACTGGTTCTTCTGTCCTCCTTAGTCATTGTCCAACTTTCTGATGCATAGCAAGTAATTGCAAAGACCATGGCTTGGCATAAATAGGCTTATAAATATAGCCAGTAATGTACAACCAAGTGAGGATAAATGGAATCTTCTAAAAATCAAATCCCTGGTCCATCAAAAACTTTTCCCAATATGGTGAAAAGAAAGCCTACAGACTGGGAAATAACTTGGGACTAAAGTTTACAAAATACTACAGAGCCTCCACAAGAAAAAGACTGATAACAAAATTACATAATGGGCAAAAGACAAAATGAATTTATATTACATATAATACACATTGTAATACTTGTAATATACATATTATACAATGTATATTGTACATTGTTTCCAAGAAGAAGACAGAAGAATTTCATGAAATAAAGTATAATCAAGAGCCTATGGTGAGGAAGGAGGAACTTGAAATGATTCTGAAGGAATTGGCAAAAAACAAGGTCCCAGTATTTGACAGTATACCAATTGGCAAATTTCAACAAAAAGATGCTGCCCTTGATGCCCTCACCATCTTGTGCCAAGAAATCTGGAGGACAACTACATGGCTAACTGACTAGAAGAAAGCCAAATTTATTCCCATTCCAGAATGAAGTGACCTGACAGAGTATGGGAATTCCTGAACAATATCACACACAAGCAAGATCCTGCTGAAAATTATCCAAATACTATTGCAACAGCACATCAACAGAGACATGCCAGAAGTTCAGTCTGGGTTTAGAAGAGTATGTGGCATGAAGGACATTATACCTAATGTTAGAATGATCTTAGCTGAAAGAAGAGAGTACCAGGAATGTCTATCTGTGTTTCATTGCCTATAAAGCCATTTGACTGTGTGGATCACAACACACTGTGGCTCACTTTGAGAAAAATGAGAATCCCAGAACACTTGATTGTGCTTATGTGAAACCTATCATTTCGACCAGGAGGCAGTCATCAGAACAGAGCAAGAAAACAAAAGCAGGAAATGTGTATCCCAGGGGTGCACCCTATCTACATGCCTTTTCAATCTGTGAGTGGAAAAGATAATCCAAGAGGCTGGGCTCTATTAGAGAAATGTGGCATCTGGATTGGAAGAAGACTCATCAACAACCTGTGTTATGCAGATGACACAACCTTGCTTGCTGAAACTGAGGAAAACCTGAGGCATTGTCAAAGACTACAGCCTTCAAAATGGATTGAAACTCAACATCAAGAAAACAAAGATTCTCACCACTGGGCCAATTGGCAGCATGGAGAAGATACTGAGCTTGTTAATAACTTCAGCTTGCTTGGCTCCACAAACAATATGCTTAGTACCAGCAGCCAGGAAATAAAAAGATGAATTGCACTGGGAAAAATCTGTTGTCAAGGACCTCTTCAGAGTACTGAAGAGCAATGACGTCAGTCTAGAGATAAAAGGTGTGCCTGATCCAGACCATGGTCTTCACAATTACTTGCTATCAGAGACAAAAACTAAGGATGACAGAAGAAGAATTGATGTCTTTTTTTTAAATTGATGTCTTTGAATTGTGGTGCTGGAGAAAAATATTAAACATACCATGGACTGCTAAGAAAACATAAATCCACCCTGGAGAGGGTGAAATCATGCTGCTCCTTGGAAGCAAGGATTTTGTAGCTCCATCTGACATGCTTTAGGCATGTTGCCAGGAGAGACCAGTCCTTGCAGAGGGACATCATACTTGGAAGGGTGGAGGGACAGCACAGGGGACAAAGATCCTGGATGAGATGAATTGACTCAGTGAATGGGATAAATGAGAGTAGATGTGTAAGAGAATAAAATTGGCATAAGATAGAGGAAGGTTCAGAGCTGTTGTACATGGACGGGATCACTATTGAGTCATAGGCGACCCAACAGCACATAACAACAGTCTTGATGTTATGGGAAATTAAGAGGAGTGGTTTAGAAGGAAGCCTTTTATTTTTTTCTTTTATAATTGTGTGTAAAAATCCATAAGAAGGCATCATGTGAAGATGACATCACAGAGCAAGGCAGTGAGACTAAAAGTGAAAAGGTAAGCTACAGACTGGGAGGATGTACATATATGTATCTAACAATGAATCTCCATAAGGCAGGGTGCAGTCTCCATACCAGACTTGAGGACATATAATGACAATGAATATCTAATGAGTTCATACTGTGAATATGTCCTCCCAGTCTAGATAGGGCAGGTTTCAGATCTGATGTTCCTAGAGACTTTATGACTCAATTCCACGGCACCTAACAACAACAGCAATGAATTTGTTTCCAAACTATAAAGAACATCTTAATTCAATGAGAAAATGAATTTTAATTAGTGAAAGATTTAGACTTTTCCAAAAATAAGATATTCAAATGATCAGTTGTTTAGTGTCATCGAGTCCACTACAGCTCATGCAAGATCCTTTGAACCACAGATGTGTACTATGTCCTATCCTGCCCCTCCTCCCAATCTTGAATATACTCAAACACATTGTTGAAGTCACTGTATCAATCCATTTTATTAAACATCTACCACTTTTTCTCTGATCCACCACTTTTCTCAGCATAATATCTTTTTCTTTGAAAACATGCCCAAACTATAGGAAATGAAATTTTCTCATCCTTGCTTCTAAGAAGCTCTTTCTCCAAGACAGACTTGTTTGTTCTTTTGGAAGTTCATGGAATATTCAGTACTTTCCTCCAATACCACAATTCAAAGACACCAGTTCTTCTTCTGTCATCCTTATTCATTATCTAATTGTCAGATGCGTATGACACAACTGAAAATACCATGACTTGGTTCAGTTGTACCTTAGTTTTTAAACTAATACTATTTCTCCTTAGCATTTTAGAATCTGTCTTTGACAGCATGTCTTTCCCAGTGCAGCACATATTTTGATGTCATGACTGCTATTATGATGGTGGATCCAAGGAAAATGAAATCATTGACAACTTATGATGTTATCTATTGGTTAAATGCTAAGAAGTTTTGTTTTCTTGATGTTGAAGTGTAGCCCATCTTGAAGGCTGTAGTCAATGATCTTCTGCAATAAGTACTTCAAGTCTTTTTCACTTTTGCAAGCAAGGATGTGTCATCTGCATAACAGCTTGTTGAAGAGTCTTCCTCTGATCCTGTTCCACATTCTTCTTCATATAGTTCAGCTTCTTGGATGACTTGCTCAGCAGACAGATAGAGAAGATACAGAGAAAGGATACAACCATAATATACTCTTTTCCAGGTTTTGAATCCTTCAGTGTTTCCTTATTCTATTTGAATAAGTATTTTGGTCTATTCTGGGATTTCCATTCTTTAGGAATAGGTATGGTGGAAAAGGCATTGACTAGCATCAATGTATGATAAATGTAAAGAAATGTATTCATTTGCTTGGGCAGATTTACTCATTTGCTATCATTCTCTAAGATCCATTTGTTTTCTGCACAGGCCAAGTAGGTTGAATGTGGATGTAGTAGAAATCATCACTCTGGCATTCTTGAAGATCTTGATAGTCGTACAGATTTCTACAATCTTTCCAGAAATGTAATATTACTTTTGATATACTTTTTAATTAGACAAGGCTTTTTCTAATGACTTTTACTTTGCATTTCCTATCCTAATAAACCTTATCAGTGATTGAATGAGGACATTCTGGAAATTCTGGAGTCTAATAATGCATTCTGAAGCTGGGAAAATCACCACAAGATGAGTTCAGGCTCTCACTGTGATGGCCAAAGCTAAGATTTCATTAATAATTTGACCTCCATGTGTCCTTACTCCGACTTGTGGGCCACAATGACATTTTGGGCTTCCTGCAATTGCTGTTACTTCAGAGTCAGTGTCCAGTTATCTCTGAAAAGTCTACTTCTTTTCCCTAGTGAATAGTTACTTTTGTGAAAGACCAGAAATCCCATTAGGGAAGACTGAGTGAAAGATAAATAGTGCAAATTGTGGACAGTTCAGGGGGTTGCTTCCTCAGTGGGACCAAACTTCCCCTTCATTCAAAGGGCTATAGGACTGTAAACGGACTTTAATCTCACAATTGATAGAGGAGTCTTGACTCTATCTAGAGATTTATGTTTATGCTGACATCCTTTTGGTCTATATGTCTTTTATTTGTACAGATAAAGTCGCTTTCCCATCCATTTCACTCCTTGATGTACTATGACTAGGTAGCCAGCACCAAGAATCTTTGTTTCTGTTTTGATTACTACTCTGCTGTATCCAGCCACCACACTGACTTTGTTTTTTGGAGATTAAGTCCAACCACTTATCTCCTGTTACCCAAGATCCAGTCCCCTGTATTATAGTCAAGGGTCTTAATTCAGTTAGAGCTGTTGTACACAGAAGAGCAGTCACAACAATCTTCAAGGATCCTGGGGCTCCCTTCATAACTTTCCATGGCCTTTATCATCTTCAGCTGGAAATGTTTTTCTAAACAAATGACAGTCACAGAAAAGATGTTATTTTTCCTTGGATAATTGTAAATATCATAACCAATGATTTTTAATCCTCACATTTTAGAAACATCCTAAGTCACAGAAGTAGGTATTTGCACATCTTAGATATCTGTTAACTCAAAGAAGTAGGTCATGTAATCATACCCAATAATTCTTTTTCATCCAACAGGGTCATCCATCACTTGTGAAAGCTTTGGCCTGCCTATATGAAAAGTTTTATCCGAATCACATCAAACCAAATGAAGAAATCCTTGTGACTGTAGGAGCTTATGGATCTCTTTTTAGTGCCATTCAAGGATTAATTGATGAAGGAGATGAAGTAAGTATAGTAACATTATTATAATACTTATATTAATTACTATCTTTTCACCTGCCTTTAAGACTCTTACAACATACTTTCAATTTTTTCTTTTCAAATTTTTAATTAGTACTGAAGTATACCAGTATGTATAGATGTCAAACCCCTGATACCACAGAAGTTTTCATGTAAGCCCCTGTGACTCACGCATGTGTTAGAGTCCTTGGCCTGAAGGAGAGGTGAAAATTGCTGTTAAGCAAAGTGATAAGATGAGCAAATCAGATCACAAAATAGATATATAACTGCCAGTTTCCATCATTACATAACTGTAAGGAAACAGCCCAAATGTCTAACCGCAATGGAATGGACTGAGAAATTACGGTACATTCAAGCAATGGAATACTATGCAACATGCAGGTGCAATGATTTTGTAAATTACAACCTAACTTGAGAGGGACTGGAGAGTATTATGCTAAGTAAACTAACTCAGTCTAATAAAGACAACTACTGTATATGACCATTATTGTAGAATGAGTACAGGATCGAAGGCAGGGAGGGAGGAAAGAGGGATAAGGACAGATGTGGGCTTAATCATAGGGTTGTGTAATTTGGTGGGTGGAGAGAGGGGTGGGTAAAGGAAGGGGAAAAGACCCAGTGTGAAAAACAATGTATGTGAACATAAACAAATATACAATAATTTTTAAAAAATTATACCTTTAAATAACTTCCAAATCACATCATTGTATAACAGGCAAATTATATTATTGATGGTCAAAACTCACTATGAAGTCCAGAAGCAACACTAGCTGAGTGTATAGTAAATATACTTCATTTAAAACGTGTACTTCAGTGAAAGGGCTAAAACTCAATGTTAACATCAGTCCCAAACAAAAAAGAAGAGGAGGGTATTTATCCTTCTACCTTTGCCAATTGGGGGTATCTAACAGCAGTTTCAAGGACTTGGGATCATTTTCCACTTTCCCACCACAACTAGATTTAACTATCAACAACCTCCATGTCTGGGGGTAAACATTAATCAGGTGATTTACTATTTCCTGGAACACATTGATATATTCTGTTTAGGTCAAAAAGTCAGCAAAATATAATCAATTTTGTTTCAATCAACCTTGTATTTTCATAACTACCAAACCATTAAGAATCATGGCTTAGTCAAGGTAACTCTAACTTCACCATCACACCAATCAACTTTAACTTAACTATCGCACCAATCAGAGAGCCAGTGTTATTTGCATCTTCAACCTCAGCATTTGTTACTGGCAGATGTACGTTTTTAATGTAGCAAATAGTCAGATGGTATAGTTTTTACTATTTTCATAAATGTGAAATACTGGATAATGAAATAGTCAACAGATGAGAAGGTGTGTAATATATATAAAGTATATGATTTTTGTGTCCAGCGTATATAAATATGGAAATGACACTTTTATCTGAATATCTATGTAGCTACAGCTCAGCTAAGATACAGAAAATTTGTGAGCCAATTGCTAATGACACAGATGAATACATTTAAGATGTTTACCAATGTCTGCAGTCTGAAGTTGATTAAAAATACACATAGATGTATATTTTTAATGCACCAAATAGTCAGATGTTATAGTTTTTGCCAAAAATGAAGAGGACTTGAAGCACTTATATATCAGACCATCAAGGAATGCAGCCTTCCATGTGGTTTACATCTCAGTGTCAAGAAAACAAAGATTCTTACCACTGGACTGATAAGAAATATCATGAAGGATGCAGAAGAGATTAAAACTCTCAACAACTTTGGCTTACTTGGATCCACAATTAACACCATTGGTACCAGCAATCGGGAAATAAGGAGATGCATTCAACTGGGAAAATCTTCAATTATGAATCACTCAAAATTATTCAGGAGTAATGATTTCAGTTTGAGGACTAAGGTATATCTGATCCAGGCCATAGTCTTTCTGATCACTTTCTGTACATCTGAGAGCTGGACAATGAATAAGGATGACAGAAGAAGAATTGATGCCTTTGAGCTATGGTGTCGGAGTAGAGCCCTGAACATCCCATGGACAGCTGAAGAACAAACAAATATGGCTTGGAGAGGGTGCAACTGCAGTGCTCTTTGGAAGGAAAGATGGTGCTTCATCCACATATTTCAGGAATCTTGCTAGGAGGGGCTATTCCTTGAAGAGGGACATGATGCTGGGAAGGGTGGAGGATTGGCAAAGGAGAGGAAAACCCTCAACTAGGAAGACTGACACAGTCAATGAGCTCCATTGTGTCAGGAAGTGTGAGGATGGCACAGGATAGGACAGGTTTCAGATCTGTTGTTCATAGGGTCACTATTAGTCATATTTGATTCAACAACACCTAAGAACAACATCATTTTTGCCATCATAGTGTGAAATATTGGATAAAGAAATCATAAAAAAAATAAGAAGGTGTGTCACATATATAAAATGTACAATTTTTATGTCCAGCATGATAAAAATATATATATGAATATATACAATATATATTTATATATGTGACTCACTCCTATATATGAATACCCATGTAACCACAGCTCAGCTAATATATATAGTTAATTTGTAAGCCTATTGCTAATGCCACAGATGAATACATGTAAGATTTTTACCAACTTCTGCAGTCTGATGTTGATAAAAAATGCAGTCAAGATGAATTGATAATTAATGGTGATGAGAATGTGAACATTAGACATAAAAGATAAGGATCAATTATTGTAAAATAAGGCCTTGGTGATAGAAACAACTCTGGAGAACACTGGGGAATTTGGCAAAACCAATAAACTGGGGAGCTCTGGTGGCCTAGTGGCAAGAAGCTGCACTGCAACCCCAGAGGTGCACGGTTCGAATCCATCAGATGCTCTCTGCCAGGAAAGGAGGGACAATCTCCTCCTGCACCACTCAGATCTGATTTGACGGTCGGTACACGCACACACACAAATAATAAAATAAAAAAAAATTTAAAAAACAAACCAATAAACTACTCATTGTTGTTGCCTTTTTGCAGCAATATAGTAAGCAGTTATATACGTAGACCTCCCCAGATAGAATACGATTTGACCAAATAAATTGTGGAATAACATCAAAGACATCAAAGATATGAAAAAACCGAAAGGTCATTAGAAAGACAAAAGTCTGAAATTTGCCCTTAAATGTAGACTTGTTGATTGCCTTTGCATCTAGAATGACTCATAGCAACCGTATGAACTAAAGACCTAAAACCCTTCTACCACTGTTGACATTTATCAAAGTTCATAGAGTGTCCAGAGGCATGTTATTTAGGAAGTGGACACCACTCCTGCTGATGCAAACAGAAAAACTGATGATGGAAAAGAGCTAAGGAAATCTGCCCAGGAAGCAACCCCAGCTCAGCTAGGGACTTTTACTGGCACCCAGAACTGATCTGCTTGGCCGAGAAATTGATGCTTCCCTAAGCATTTATCCTGGTGCATAACCAGCTGCACCACCTCTGAAAAGGTGATGCAGGTGTGCTTGAATATTAGAGGGAAATTGTAACCAGAATTAATAACAAAATTACTGAGCAATTGACGCTTCCCTGAGTTTTTGTCCCCTCCAGAACAGCCCTTGGGAACATCCCCCTAGGAAATAGCCACTGCTCTGCTAAGGACTTTAGATGACACCAAGATCTGAGAGCTGCATTGTGGCGAAACTGGGTCTTCCCTGAGCCTTTGTCTTCTGGAGTAGAATTAACTCTGCCCTTTAACCTAGAGGCTTCTGAAGAGGAGATACAGGTATGCTTGGCTATTAGAGTCTAGTCAGAATTGAGGACTGAATTTCTGAGTAATTGGCACCAACCTGAGTCTTTATCTTCTAAGGCTGAAATAGTTGCCCCCACAACCAGCCCTGGGAGAAGGGAGAGGCACATGGCCATTAGCAACTACTGAGATGTGGGGCTGCACTATTGGGACCTTTTCACTTTCCTCCTTTTCCCTTAGTAACATGTCCTAGGCAACACTCATAGAAATTAGACTACCCCTGGGAGAAACCTCTCCCCCCTACCCACAGTTAACTGCAGTATAGGACAGAGAAGGGTGCCCACCATAGCTTGGCAAAGGAAAAGATCCTAGCTCTCTATAACCTTAGAGCACAACCATAGGAGAAACTAGCCACAAGAAATATGGAACATAGCTGCCCATAAACCACCAGCACGGAGGACTACCACTGGGAAACTCAATTGAGAGACAATACTTTTAAGTCTCCAACTTATCAAAAGCATTATAAAGCTAAGAAAATGTCAACAGACTAAAAAAACACAACAGAAACTGTTCCATGCATACCAAGAAATTCACATATTGTCAAGAAAGTAGTAGGCAAATTCAAACATTACTTAAAAAAACCCAATTCCCAAAACAGGCCTCATAAAAAAGTAGATCAGATTGTGGACCTAATTAATACTCTAGAAATATGGAGGCAAAAGAACTATGTAAACATGGAATTATATGAACAGCTACTGAAGAAGGCACAAATCATGGAAGAAAGATTTGAAACCATAAAGAAAGCAAATACCCAAGACAGGAAGCCACAAAATATCTATGTGGAGTTACATAAATAGCAATGAAGAATTTACAAACATTGGGAAAACGTTGAAACCATAAATAGCAAGCTATAAGAATTAAGAAGAAAAAACCAGCACAAGATAGGGTACAACCAACACAGTACTGGAAATAACAGAAATGCATAAAAACTAAAAAACACAGAATATAAAGAGTGAAATGGTAGAATTTTCCAACATGATGGAGGACAAAAGATCAGAATGGAAGAGGTGGAACAGAGTCAGTGTGTTAAAAGATAAGAACTTCAATGAAAACGTAATAGAAGAAAATAGAGAAGACAGAGGAAAATTAATAAAACAGTACAGTCATGTGAGATAACATCAAATGGAACAGCTTATATATGATAGAAATTCCAGAAAAAGAGGAGGAGAAGAAAAGCACTGAGAAAATTTGGAAGAGGTAGTAGAAGAAAACTTCCCAGGCATTATGAAAACCAAGGAAATTCACATTCAAGAAGCTCAATTAACTACAAACAGACTAGATTCCAAAAGAAAAACATCAAGACATAGTCAAATTGTCCAAAATCAAAGATGAAGATAGAATACAAAAAGCAGCAAGATAAAAGCAAAGTCATCTACCAAGGAGAACCAATTAAATTAAGCTCTGATTTCTCAGCAGAAACCATGAACCTCCAGAATATTAAATATCTCATGGAATTCCAAGAGAACGAACTAGCCAGAGCATTCCTGAGAAGCAAAGACAGTGAAACTTTATCTCATACACTTTGGGTATGTTTACCTTAGAGAAGAACCCTATGCTTGAAAAAGTAGAGGTTAAGTGAAAGAGAGGCAGACCTTCAAGGAGATGAGTTGTTATGTTACACTGGCTACAACAGTGGCCAGAAATTAGGAGGAGGAAAATGATCAAGCGGTATTTGGATCTGTTGTACATAGATAGGGTTGTTATGACTCAAAGCTAACTTAATGGCATCTAACAATAACACATTGTGCTTAGCCTCTTGGTGCGAATTCCATGGCTGGTAAAGATGTACAGAGCTTTAGAATTTAAGGGCCTCTTGGGACTCCACTTGTCTTGAACAGATATTTCCTATCATACAATAGTAAAGAGTGTTAATTCAAAACATTAATTGCAAGTGAATTGTCAACATTTAGTACCAAGAGTTAAATGAGAAAACTTCCTTAGACTTATGAAATTATAAACTTTCAAGAGACTTTCAAAAGCAATTATGTACATGTATGTGTCTGTGTTTATATCACTCACTCATTCTCATCAAGTTGGATGACCCTTTAGTGGGTTTTTCAAAGTCAATAAATCACATGGAAGAAGATTGCCTATCTTTCTTCAATGGAGCAGCTGATGGATTTGAACCACTGACCAATGTGTTGGCAGCACACTCTTTACCTACCCACTAGATCACCAGAATTCCGTGTGTGTGTGTTGTCATAAAAAACATATTTTGTCATAAACATCTCTTTAATCAGGCAATATCAGTGAAGGTAGGAAAACTACACATATTCACAAGCAGGCATAATGTTGATATTTATACAACCCAAAGGTAAGAAAATTATTCTAGAATTCTGTGAACTTTTATGCCACAATTGAAATGATAACTAACAAGGACAATAAGAATATTAAAATTTCCAGAAATATTTCTGAGTTTACAAAAGATAATGCTGTTTAAGTATTTATGATGGTTAAAAATGATTCAGACTCTCCTTACAGAAAGGCAATATTTAAGACTTCTAGATCCACAATCAACACTCTTGGTACCAGCAGCCAGAAAATCAAAAGACGAGTTGCATTGGGAAAATCTGTTGTCAGTGACCTTTCTAGAGTACTCAAGAGCAATGATGTCAGTCTAGAGACCAAGGTGCACCTGTTCCAGGCCATAGTCTTCACAGTCGCTTTCTATGCATCAGAGAGCTGGACAATAACTAAGGATAATAGAAGAATCAATGCCTTTGAGTTATGGTGCTGGAGAAGAATATTGAATATATATTCCATGGACTGCTAAGAAAACAAAAAAGTCCAACCTGGAGAGGGTGAAACCAGGCTGCTCCTTGGAAACAAGGATTGTGAAGCTCTGTCTGACATACTTTGGGCATGTTGCCAAGGAAGGGCCAGTCGTTGGAGAGGAACATCATTCTTGGGAAGGTGGAGGGACAGTGCAAGAGAGGAAGATTCTGGATGAGATAGATTGCTTTAGTGACTGGGGTAATGGGAGTAGGTGTGTCAGAGAATGGAGTTGGCTCAAAACAGAGCAGGCTTCAGAGCTGTTGTACATAGGGTTCCTATGAGTCACAAGTGACTCAATGGCACATAACAGATCCAAGTTGAGAATTTGGGATGGAAAAGCAACTGCACTAGTTGAACTCTCCTGCTGACGTGAACTAGGACAGAAGGATAGGAGACAGAGGTCAAGAAGGAAATCTCTAGTGGTTAGGAGAAAAGGCAGGTTCTAGATATGAGGCAACTGAAGGGAAAATGGATATCATGACATAAGTTCAAGAACACCCTAACCAGTCCGTGTCCACCCTGTTAGGCACTTCTTTAAAGAAGAGAGAAACATCTTTACTTTCAAAAGTAGTGCCCCATAATATAGAGGCCTGTCATATTCTGTTTGTGCGGCTTCTACTGTCTAATGTACCACTTATATATAGTCTAGACAACCCCGATTTGAAATGGAAGGCTTTTAAAAAGTTTTTGATGTAAACATTTCCTTTTTTAATTAATCATATTTTTTTATGAATTTTAGTGAAAATTTACAGATACTTTGGATTTCCATTCATTCATTGTTGCACTTTTCTCCCTGCCCACCCCTTTCCCCCACAGTACACTCTTCTCTTTGAAAAGTAAAAGAAAAATTCTTTCATCTACCCCAGGTCCACTCCACTATGCAGCCTTCATTCTAGACTCCTGTCATGAAGACACGCAAACACATATCCCCTTTAGACAGTTCTGCCCCTCATCTGTTTCAATGCAGTATACATCATTTATACCATCTTTCTCAATCTCCCCCCAACCCCAATGTCAGTCCTCTTTTATAAGAGTGGCACTATGCAGTATTTGTGCTTTTGTGACAGAGATATTTCACTCAGCATAATGTCCTCTAGGGTCACACATTTTGAATAATATTGCATGAGTTCCTTGTTTTTCAATGCAGTGTAGTATAGTATTCCATTGTGTGAATATATCACAGCTTCTCTATCCATTCATTTGTTGATGGACACTTAGGTTGTTTCCAACTCCTTGCTATTGTGAATAAAGCTGCGATAAACATGAGTGTGCATTTATCTGCTTGGGTGGCATGACTTAAACATTTCTTAGAATGTCAGAACAGTTATGACCCCTTTCTCCAGAAAAATCTGCATATATACATACAAAATTTTGGATGCAATTTGAAGGGCCTCTACTGCAAGAACTTAAAAGACCAAGAACTCTAAGACTCTTTGGACAAGTTTAGCTCCAAGATCTTGTCCACATAGATTTTAGCTCCATGGAAGCAAGCCCTGCTTTTTTAATTGCAGCATCTCAGTAACTTGAATAACTCCTTGCACAGATTTATGTGTTGGTGTTGTTGTTATGTGCCATCAAGTTGCCTGCAACCCATAGTGACCCTATGTACAGCAACTCTGAACACTGTCCTGTCCTAAACTATTCTCATTAATTCTGACACACCAACCCCCACTGCCCCAGTTACTGTATCAATATGTCTCATTTGAGATCTTCTTCTCCTGCACTGTCCCTCCACCCTTCCGTGCATAATGTCCTTCTTCAAGGACCAGTCTCTCTGTGCCTTGTGCCCAAAGTATGTGAAACAGAGCTTCAAAATCCTAACCTCCAAAGAGAAACGTGGTTTCACCCTCTCCAAGGCAAATTTATTTGCTTTCTTGGCAGTCCATGGTATGTTCAAGACTTTTCTCCAGCATCACAATTCGAAGGCATCTATTTCTCTGTCATCCTTAGTCATTGTCTGTCTCTCTGATGCATAGCAAGTAATTGCAAAGACCATGGCCTGGATTAGTCACACCTTAGTTTCTAGACTGACATTGCTTTTCAGTACTATGTAGAGCTCCCTGACAATAGATTTTCCCAATGCAGTTCAACTTTGTATTTCCTGACTGTTGGTGCTCGAAGTACTGACAGTGGAGCCGAGCAAGCGGTAATTTTTAACAACCTCAATCTCTTCTCCATTTGTCATAGTGCTGCCAATTGATCCAGTGATGAGAATCTTTCTTTGCTCGATGTTGAGCTTCAATCCATATTGAAGACTACAATCCTTGACCTTCTGCAGCAAGCGCTTCAGGTCCCCTTCCGTTTCAGCAAGCAAGGTTATCTGAATAACGTAGCTTGTTGATGAGTCTTCCTACAATCCTGATGTCCCATTCCTCCTCATAAAGACCTGCTTCCCAGATTACCTGTTCTGCATGTAGATTTAAAAGTTATGGAGATAGAATGCCTCCTTGACACATTCCCTTCCTGATTTTGAACCATGCAGTATTTATCTGCTCTATTCTCAGGATTGCTTCCTGGTCCAAGTATAGCGTTCCCATAAGCACAATCAAGTATTCCCATTTTCCTCAAGGTTAGCCACAATTTGTTGTGATCCACAAAGTAGGTACACATTGTTAAATGAATTCATAATAAAATTTTTTATAATATCTTTTTTTTTACTTCAGGTGATAATAATAGTGCCTTTCTATGACTGCTATGAGCCCATGGTGAGAATGGTTGGAGCAACACCTGTTTTCATTCCCCTAAGATTTGTAAGTTTACCAAAACAGTTCTCCAGTTTTAAAAACACCAGTTACTTACTGTTAATATAGAAAATTTTACTGTGTTTTGAAATGTATTACATATCTGTACTATATAAGTAAATAACGTATAAGGAGTAGAATTTATTACTTTGTTATTTGTTTGCAAATGGTTAATATTCATATACCAGTAGTATGATTTGTGGCTATGTATGTCTCTCCTTCATCAGATTATGACCAACCCCAAGTGAAAAACCATTAATAACTCACCTTTATAGCATCACTTCTTAATAACCTACAGAGTGCTCATTAATTCTTGTTGAAATCTGAATGATGTGATTATTCCTTTATTAATTTTGGGAGGAATTAAAAATGAATACATTGTGTTTTTTCAAAATCTTGTTAAAATAAATAATACACTAATTTAAACCACACAATCTTCTATGATCTTCAGAATATATAAACTATAGTTAGGTTTTTCTGTTGGCTGATTTCAAGTCAGCCTCTGACTCATGGTGATACAAACACAAATTGGATTGAAGCTATGTGATTCACAGAGTTTTCAGTGGCTGAAGTTTTGGAAGTAAAGTGCTATTGCTGAAGTCGGATGATCTTGTCTGAAATCAGAGACTACCAGAAAGATGTTTACCTTGTTTTGTTTGCTTTGAAAAGGCATTCAACTGTGGGATCATATCAAAGTGAATAACATTGTGAAGAATGATAATCCCAAAATATTTCATTGTCCACATGTAAACAAAGGGATTCTCCATGGTCTGAAACCAGGAAATAGAAATTCATAAACAACATGTGATATGCAAATAACACAACCTTATTACTGAAAGTAAAGAGAACTTGAAAAACATTTTAATGATGATCAACGTCTTCAATGAGGATAATATTACAACATAAAATAAAAGTCTTTACAACTGGACCAATAAGCAACACCATGATAAACTGAGAAAAAATTTAAGTTATAGACAATTTAATTTTATCTGTATCCATAAACAGTGTCCAAAGTAGCACCAATTAAGAATCCAGTGTACGACATTGGGTAAAGGGAACTCTGGTGGCCTAGTCGTAAGAAGCTGTCCTTCAATCCCAAAGGCAGAGTTCAAATCCACCAGCCGCTTTTCAGGAGAAGGATGAGCATTCTCCTCCTATGCAATTTGCTACCTCTGAAACCCATTGAAGGAGTCAGATATGGGTTGATTCCTACTTGATGGCACACAACAACAACATTAGCCAAAAAACCCAGCAAAGGGCAACCTCAAAAAAATAGTAGTGGCAATACTAATCTCTGATAAAATAGATTTCAGGATGAAAACCACTATCAAATATAAGGAAGGGCTTTACATACTGATTAAAGGCACAATAGATCAAGAAGACATAACCTTGATGAACATTTAAGCACCAAATGATAGACCTGCAAAATACATAAAACAACAGCTAACACAATTGAAGAGAGAAATGGACAGCACCACAATAATGGTAGGAGATTTTAAAAACCACTATCACCAAAGAATGAGTCAAAATTATATTAGCCAAAAATGTCACTTTGAAAACTAAGTTATACTTACCCTGGGTTTCTGTGACTTCTTGCTGCCTGAGCATGGTAGTCTACGTGCACAAGTAATTGCAAGTTTTTGGGGTCGTGTGCTTTTTCAGGCTTGTGTTTAACATGCAGAACTACTCTTCCCCCAAGTAGTGAGGCCCTTGAGGCTTGGCTTAGGGTTTTGTTTTTTTGTGGGGATTTTTTTTCATTTTTATTAATTTTAATGAACATTTATAG